GTAACTTTCACATACGAGCTCCGTTTTTGACGTTCTTTATATCCATGTGTAGGTAAAAATAAGATCTACAACTTTCATATTGACTCCGTCAGCTAATTCTTGACCGATCTTAAATTTAACAGTACGAGGAGATTATACTGTTAAATGTCCGCGTAAAATTCATAACTTCTATATACGGACTCCGTCTTCGTCTGTCTTTTTACCGTTGAGTTCCTATTAATGAGATATTCAATTCTCATTTAGGTCGCGTAGTCCAAAAACCGCACGATCTAAAATTCGAATTTTTAGTTGCGCATTGCTATGCCAAATCTTAGAAAAATCATAATTTCCTCATACGAAGTCAGATTTGGACGTTTTTTTTTTGTATGTTCTCGGTTTAACGTATACTAAAACTTTTGTTTAGATCACTAAGGCTAAAAACTCCTCTATCGTAAATTCACTATTTACATTTCCTGGTGTCGTGTTGGTTTTGCCATAAAACTTCGACGAGCCATAACTTATTCATTATAACTCGGATTTCGGCATTCTTTATATGTACGGAACCCATGTAACATATACTACAACTTGGTTAAAATTAATCATTCGAAATAATCTTTCATCAAAAACTTATTTTTGACGCTCATTGTCTCTAAATTGACTATCCCGGATTTGCGGGCATTACAATTATCTCCCCCTTAGGATGATTATGTCCCGGAATCATCCACGAAATAGGGCTTGTATAATGATTCCATACGTTATCTATTCATCCTAAGTAATAATCGTAACTTTGATGTTTCTTCGAACGAGTATCTAACTCTAAGACTTCCTGACTGCAGACGGTGCTCGATCTTGCACTTGCTCCCTATCTCACGTTAGACTCCAAATTATGACCTTCAAGTCACAATCTCGATCCTTACTGGAGACTGCTTCTTCTTCTTAACAAACTTAAGATAAGTTATTTTATTACTACAATGGATCGATGTGTCATATTCTAATGACCTATCATCGTAGGTTCCCACGCTTAGAATCAGGTCTCTTAGAGTCTTCCAAAACAGACTACACATTTCTTCATGTTCTAATCACATCTTAAAAGGTAGCATTTCTAGCTACAAGAACCTATCGCGATACCTCTACCGATCGCTTTGATTATCTTTTATTTCAATCCTCCGACTTAAGTCAGATGCTACATCAAACTTGGTTCAGTGAACCACGTAACATACTCATCGTAGTCGGACTCAATTCGAAATGACCACTAGGGTCGGAATAACAATCATGCTCTTAGTCATTACCGAAATGATGGTAACAACATATTTGAATAAAACGGTATCAATTACTAGCTTCTTGGTAACCTTGTGACTTTCCCTGATCCAAGTGTGAGTCCTGTGCTTCCGTTAGTATAGGCCTTTACTACCTTTCACACCTACTCATTCTCGTCCCAAGTATCGTCTCGCAGTTCACCCAAGTCACCATACAATAAAATCACATTAGATAAAAAAAACGAATGTTTTATATTATTCCTTGAAACAATTACATAGGTGTTCAAGTTCAACCTATACTATGCCTCTAATAGGCTACACCACGTGGTACTATTTACACGACTACTTCATAGATCCTCATTCCTGATCCCTTTCAATTCCATCTTCTTCGTCAAGGATCATATGGAACGCTCTTGCCTTCGGTTTCGGTGGAATGTTTGGTCTTGCTGACTCTTTCTTCTTTGGGCAATCCTTAGCAACGTGCCCGTCTTCACAACATTCATAACACACCCTTTTGCTAGCGGTGCACTCGTTGGCGTAATGTCCGGCCTTCCCATACTTGTAGCAAGTCACTTCCTCGCTACATTTCCCGAAGTGCTTCTTCTTGCACTTCTCGCACCATTTTACTTCGTTTCCTCCCCTGCTAAACTTCTTTGAACCAGACTTGATCTTTTTATTAGGCCTCGTAGACCCCTCAAACTTCCTCTTTTCGCCAACCTCAATCTTGTTGGCAGCTCTTCCCTTAATCATATCCTCCACAGACTTGGCAGTCCAGATAGCTACCTCCAGAGTAGGTGTCTGACGTACTGGCACCGCGTACTCCCATGGAAGCCCCTTTGCGTACTTGTTGATTTTTGTCAACTCATCCAGAACAAGACGTAAGGTGAACTCCATCTTCTCTATGAAGCTGTTGGTGTATTCATCAATTGGCATGCTTCATTTCTTCAAGGTCACGGACTGCTTCTCTAGCTCGAGCAGGTTTTGGGTTGAGAAGTACTTGCATTTGAACTGCACCGAAAACTCTACCCATGTCAGTTGCAGGGGCTCATTAGGGCTCAGAGTCTTCCCCAGGGTATTCCACAAGCGCTCAGTACCTCTTCGGAATTGATGTACTGCAAATGTGGTCTGTAACTTGCCTCTGCAACCACACGTCATGAAAGCTAACTCCATCTCCGAGATCCAATCCATGACTCCGATCGGATCTTCCTTTCCAGTGAAAGTCGATGGCTTGCAAGTCAAAAAATCCTTGTACTTGCATCCATTCCTCTTGACTCCGTCATCATGGTTGTTTTATCGAACTATTGGTGGGTTGGCTTGACCAACGGTCCCACTGTAGTTCCCTCCTTCTAACGGCCCATCGTTCAATTCGGGCTTTTCAATTAGCATTGTAAGTTCGTCCCTATTTTCATGCAACATCTGCCTCATCTCTTCCCGTTGTTCAGCCAACATAGCCTGTATTATGGCTTGTACTCCTACCATTGTAATTGGCTCAGGAGCATATGCTATAACATGTATTTGTTCAATCACTGGTGGTTGATTCCTGTTCCCATTTGCATTCTTGACTCCACTATGGGTTCTTTCCATTTCGATCTATATACAAAATTAGACGTTCGGTGTGTAATGACGAGAATTAAGATAAGAAAGATTTTATTTACGATCGATGTGTAAATCTTCCTATTTCTCCGAAAAGTTATATGCCAGCTCTAATACCATAATTAAACGATTAGAAATATGAACACATAAAGTTTCTAGATCCAGTCGGCAACAGACCATAGATCCGATCATACAATGCATATCATAAGTCATTTAACATATAAAAGCATGTTAGGCATTTTCCCTAAATTAGCTAGTGCTTGTGTCTATTCAGGTGCATTACCTAAATTTTATTAGACACACTCCTCATAATCATTGTTTAGCATTCTAAGTTTAAGTCTAAAAATAAATCCATATTCCTAGTTCACCTAAACTAATGCTCTGATACCAACTGTGACATCCTCATTTTCACGTCCAGAAAAGACCGATTTTGTTTATGCTTTATAAAAGTCAGAGTACCTCTTTTAATAAAAATGTTGCGGAATTTGTGCCTAGTAAAACATGATAAATACGTTATCAAAGCATTTCCGAAGAAAAGTATTTTTATTCATTTTGGAATATTTGGGATGTCATCGTCAATACAGAAAAATAAGCATAAATAGAACTTAAATTCATTATCATTAGTGATTTATATCTCCTTAATCTTTTAGTGTAATGTGACTTCATATAAACACATGTGATATAAATAAACTGAGTGGGTCAGGTTGGGAAACCTTGTGAGTACATAGGGTTTTCAACCCACAATAAATAAGTTTATTAACTTTATCAAACTAAACAAATCCGATTACCCGTTCCCGTTATCCTCACTTTACGTCCCTAAAACATCTAATACAAGGGACCTAGTCTAAGGATTTTCATCGGGGTGACAACACATGCTTCGGGGGTTTCTCAGCAATTCATGTCAAATAAGGCAACCATGTGGGGGAAGGAGTACGACTGGTGAGCACACAATTCAAATAAACATCTACAGGTTGCGAGCCTGCTAGCGTTCCACTGGACTGTCTAGATCTTCAATTCTCATTTAGGTCGCGTAGTCCAAAAACCGCTCGATCTAAAATTCGAGTTTCGGGTTGTGCACTAGTAAGCCAAATCTTAAAAAATTCATAACTTCCTCATACGAAGTCAAATTTCGACGTTTTATTATTATTATTATTATTATTATTATTATTATTATTATTATTATTATTATTATTATTTTGTATGTTCTCGGTTTAACGTATACTACAACTTTTGTTTAGATTATTAAGGCTAAAAAGTCATCTATCATAAAATTCACTATATACGTCTCCCAGTGCCGTGTTAGTTTTGCCGTAAAACTTCGACGGGTCATAACTTCTTCGTTATAACTCGGATTTCAACGTTCTTTATATGTACAGAACCCTTGTAACATATACTACAATTTGGTTAAGATTAATCCTTCTAAATAATTTTTCATCAAAAACTCATTTTTAACGATCATTGTCTCTAAATTGACTAGCCTGGATTTGTAGACGTTACATAGTTAAAATCTCCCATTTTACCTATCCCTTCAATAAACTACCATCTAGTCCTATGACCCTTCTACATCCTCTGTTCCATCCATCTCTGAACGCCTTGAAGCCAACATAAAACCTCTTGAAATAGTTACACCCTCGATTACTTTCTACCTCCACTAAGCAAGTTGTGCCTAGATTACTCAACCTAATTATAGTTGCGTAGTCCCAAACCCTAGTATAGTAGTCTTCTAACTTCCCTTCTATCATCCCCATTGCAGTAGTCATTGCTCTTTGGCATTGCCCAATAGATACACTCACTGAAAACCTTTGTAGCACATCTTCTTGCATCTCTAGCAATGTCATCTTGGACTTCATGATTACATCTTTCAGGTAGTGTTTGGCTAACCAATTGCTAGTAACTAGGGATCCAAAGTGATAATTCCTAGCACACAGATGAATTTCATTACAAAATTTTATCTAGAATTTACTTTCATTCTATCCAGCTACAACCTTAAATGGACACTATTTTTTTTTCTTGTCACTGCTTCCACTACCACACTTAGCTATAACCCTCACTCTATCACTTTTTTCAAAATAAAGTTGGTATCCTCCATGGATTGTATAGTTAGTTAAAGAAAACCCGAGTTGAACAGGTGATTCATAACAGTCTCATAATCGGGGCATCATATCTTTCCAATCAACATTGATCATGCACCCTATACTCGACACCAACATCTTCATCGTCCTCATCTAAGTGGGCATGCTCATTTTGTTGGACACCAGGAATGTCTCCATCATTTATTATTCCATCAATACTCCTCCTTAATATGTTTTCATCACACAATAAGTTAAGAAAAGGATCATCACATAGTTTTGAGGGGTCTTTGAAAGTTTCTTCAAAAAAATTCAAGAAGCATGCATCATCATCGGAGTCAGAGTCTGGAAGGTATGTCTTCTTAGGGAGCTTAGGCCCTTTAGGCTTCTTAGTTCCAAAAGTTGAAGCCATCTGTTTCATAAAAAACAACTTGTTAGTACAAACTTGGACCTCCATACTCCATAAATGAAGATGACCACCCTCAGAATCATCAATTTCTTGTTTTCATAAAAAAACAACTTGTTAGTACAAACTTGTTAGTAAAAAACAAGTTTCATAAAAGTTGAAGATGACCACCAAAAGTTGAAGCCATCTGTTTCATAAAAAACAACTTGTTAGTACAAACTTGGACCTCCATACTCCATAAATGAAGATGACCACCCTCAGAATCATCAATTTCTTGTTTTCATACACGTACCTTTCTACTCCACCTTACTTTACCAACGATTTCAGAGCTTCAAATTGCGAAATTACGGACTATGAAACCTTTCTCAGCGTCAAACCCTTCTCGAATGCATGAAACCCTTTATCAATAATGGTTTGTGAAAGGTAATGGCTATGTAATATGTTAGTGGTGATCGGATAGAACATGTTACCTGGTCGTCATCGGGTATTAGCTCTCAAGTGATAATTCCACGAAAATATCATGTCTACAGTCAACGAAAAATAAAATAAGGGCTTTATCTAATTTAGTGGTAAAAATATTGGATTTTTATGATATTAGTCCATTTTTTGTACCGTATGCTTCATATTTTTCTTTCTTTTTATATACTTTTCCTTCGAGTTGTAAAGAAAGTGAAAGCAAAGCCTTTTAGCAAAAAGACATTTTGGTTTTTCAAAAAACCAAATATGCAGTTCACTTTCTTCTATATATGAAAACCGAAAACACAAATTTAAACTAAAGTACCTAAAACATTATTTTATGTATAAGTTTATTTAATTAATATATAATTATCTTTTTTACGTCATCTTGTATTATTTTTCAATATTATTTTTCAATAAAATTACCGACTTTTTGTAAAAAATTACCCCCATAATTAATAATAACAATAATAATAACAATAACAATAATAACTAAAAAAAGAAAGAAAAACCGTTAAAAAGTTACAACTCAAACTTTTTTTAATTCGGTTTTGATTTTAGTCAAAAATTGAGTCGAACGAAACTATACTTATACCTACGTTTTCTTGTAGTGGGTGTGCAACGATAGACCGTAAGATAGGGATGAACATGAGACGTACCAACCCAAGATTCGCAAATACCTAATTGGATGGAAATTCGATACCAAGCACCTAACTGAGCTAATATTACGGGTATGGGTACCAGAAATGACACTGGTTTTTGGTACTAGTAACGGTATTAATCTTGAATTTCGTAATTTTAGAATACATAGTACCATTGGATATTATATAAACATTTTTTTGGGTCAGAAATTTTGATAATCTATTCATCCCTACACCATAAGATAGTGTATTATATCTTTTTTGTTTATAAACTTTTCTTTGTAGCCTTGAGCCAACTTTTAAGATACTATCATACTATAGCCTATTTCGTTTTCTTGGAAGCGTAAGCCAACTTGTAAGGAAGAGTCCTAAATCATACCAATAGTGTGAAATGAACTTAATTAAAGTATAGTTCGTGGATCTCGTGGGCACTAAAAACCATAAAAGAAAATATTTATCGACTTTCTTGGATGGAGATTCGGTTCTTAATTTAGTAAGATAATCGACTAGCCACATCCCACATACATGTTGGCACAGATATCCCACACCTTGTTGACCTTTATCCAAGATGGACACTCGGACTTCGTACTTAGGAGCTCTTACATTTTGTGAAGATCTTTCAAAGAAAAACAAAAATGATACAAGTTGAAGTGGGGCATATCTCTCGTCATGAATGGGAACGTTTTAATGCACGATAAGGTATCTTCAACAACTATTCTGCAAATACATTTGTTTTTGCAAAATAATCTATCTTCTTTTTTGTAAAATTGATGCAAGTTTTACAGAAAATCAAAAAATATTATGTTACAAAAAATAATTTCACGAATTAATATACCTTTCTTGCAACATAGACGTTAGAAAAAGTAATTTAGCAAGTTAACAAATATGTGTTCTCTGTTCATAGTTACGTAATGAGAGTTGCAAATTTGATAACTTTATGATACAATCTTCTCATTTTTTTTTTCTCCGACTTTATGAGAGTTGCAAATTTGATAACTTTATGATACAATCTTCTCATAGTTGAGTAATGAGAGTTGCAAATTTGATAACTTCAGGTTCATTTGAAACCATTCTAATTTTGTGAGACCGTGAGACCAAATCTAAAAATAATTTTAAAATACAAAATAAATGGAAAAATCCAAAAATTCTTTTTTTAAATATTATTTTCGGAACTTGAATTAACTAAAAAAATATATAAAAATATATAAAAAAAAATAAAATAAATTCCGTTTTTTTTAAAAATACGTAAAATATTCTAAATAGAATATTACACTGACATATTCTAAAAAATAATTTTAAAATGCAAAATAAATGGAAAAATCTAAAAATTTTTTTTTTAAATATTATTTTCGAAACTTGAATTAACTAAAAAAAATATAAAAAAAAATCTATTTTTTTTGAAAAATACGTGAAATATTCTAAATAGAATATTACACTGTACATATTCTAAAAATAATTTTAAAATGCAAAATAATGGAAAAATCAAAAAATTCTTTTTTTTAAATATTATTTTCGGAACATGAATTAACTAAAAAAATAAAAATAATAAAAAAATGCGTCTCACGGTCTCACAAAATATAGGTGGTCTCAAATGAACCTAACCCTATATATATATATATATATATATATATATATATATATATATATATATATATATATATATATATATATATATATATATATATATATATATATATATTTTCGGTTTACCTAAAACGTTTTTTTTTTTTTTCCAAAATAAACTCAACTTTAACTTATTCCTTGTTGTTTCATTAAATGTATATTTTTTATTTTATAAATATAATATGTGCTTAAAAATGGAAATTAAATTGGTGACTTTTTAAAAATATTTCTCAAAGATTAAAGTAAATTAGGTAATTGTAACAATAATTAAACAAAATACGATTTTATTTGACAAATTTAATAATAAAACATGATGTACTTTAATTTATGTTAGGTATTTTTAATTTTAATTTTTTTTACCAAATGGAGTTTCATTTGATTTTCATATAATGATGTTTTGGAATGATTTGGTTAATTTTGTCAAATATGGGTTTAGCTCGATTTGATTGTAATGGTTTTAGCAAGTGATATTGGATGTATCCCAAAAAATTAATAATAAATTTAAAAATTATACCTTACATGTTAAATGAGTTGAATCACGGAAATTAGATGAATGACTTTTTAAAATATTTCTTAAATATTAAAATAAATTAGTTAATTTTAAAATAGTCGATAATTGAACAAAATTAAAAAGATAAAATTTCACTACAAAAAAGGCTTGAATTTATTCTTATAAGCACTTGATAATGCTTCCTTTTATATACTCAATTTGCCTTCTAAGACACCGGACCCTTTATACGGACAAATTGGGCTATGGCTTAGGGCAGCTAAAAAAGTGGGGCATAAATCTGATCCAATAAATAATTGTATATAATATGACTTTGGCTCAAAGTTTTGTCCAACAAGTGGTCCAAGTTCATTGTCCGCGTCTGCACGCGACGTTGGTATTGGAAGGCAAACATCGACAAGCTAATAAGAGCATGGGCGCCAAATAATCAAAACAGCTTGAGAATAGCAATGGCCAAAACCTATCAATCATCTAGAAAAACAAAATACGTAGAGATCGAGGAGCCTCTAATTGACTGAGTATGTATTCATCCCTCTAATTTGATTGATTTCTATTTCATTTTGATTCTAGTTTCTCTGTTTCTCTCTTAAACCTACTTCATGTATTTGTTATATCATCCAACAATCCAAATTCCGATTTGTGATACTTCAAGTGTTTGTACATTTATGGTGATTAACTTGGACTCGATAATTGATACCCTTCCTCTAGTATGAGTTTGTTTTTTTTTTATTATTATGAAGCAAGCATTAAAAATATAAAGATTTAGAATGCTTTTGATTTCTGGAGTGGGTTAGTTTGATTTATGAATTCCTTATATTTTCTTATTCTGATTTCTTTCTTCTCATTTCAATTTCCGATTGATGTTCACTCTACTTCCTTTACAATTTACACACATATATTTCGCATATATTTGCACAATTAAAATTTTCACAACAAACACATGTTAAATATATTTATACTATTTATTTTTTACTAACACACACATATTTCATATGTTTACTTATTTAGACTCTTTATATTTTACACAACTACGAGTGTTATATATATATATATATATATATACATATATATATATATATATATTATATATATATATATATATATATATATATATATATATATATATATATATATATATAGGAAAAGTGAATACACTCTTATGAACATATACGTTTAGGTACCAAAACCTATCATAATACGTTGTTTTGTTTGATATGTTGATTATAATGTTCTTAAACTTCAACCCCTAACTTGATTTACTTTTTAGATTTTCAAAATTTCACTACTATCTTCCTCTTACATCACATCTTTTTGTCGAACACTACTAGACTATATATATTATAGTTAAAAATGAATATTATGTAAAAAGAAGATAAATGTGAAATTTATAAAAATCTTCGAACTAAATCATGTTACAAGTTGAATTATAAGAACATTGGACAATTATAATGTGTATATATATATATATATATATATATATATATATATATATATTATATATATATATATATGATACAAAACGACGTAGTATGATGAGTTATGATGTATAATCTTATATACCCTTAAGGGTATATTCACTTTTCCCATACATATATATATATATATATATATATATATATATATATATATATATATATATATATATATATATATATATATAACACCTGTGGAAACCATGGTCAGTATATTTAAAATTTTTATAGAGTTAAAAAAAATGTCAAAAAAACCAAGATATTATCGATTGTAAGTAAATATGAACTAATTTGTTAAACAAAATAAACATGATAATGATATTACGATATGATTTTGCATTTTCAAATTTGAATTGAATTTGATTTGTTACAAAAAAAAAATAATAAAAATCATAGAAAAAGCTCACGTGTCAAAGAGACATTCTAAAAACTGACACATGTCATTTTTAGGTTTCATTTATTAAAAGAG